GGAGAACCACAATTGATAGATTGGAAATATATATAGATGGTTCGTTACCATAGCCATTCTCTCACAGTAGACCACGGCCAAATTTGTTCACATTGTACTGTAAAATTAGTTTATTAAATTGAACTTGTAGTGATAAACATAGCTTCTGAAGTAGTGACTCAATATACTTCCATAAAACGTGTGATAGCTTACCACATTTCGGAGAGGACTAGGAAGTTACATTGTTTGTAAAATGCGTGTATTTATCCTGCTGATCAGCCTTACGAAGCACTTCAGTGAACCGAATCACGCAGAAATTCAATTTTTGTACGAAAATCTACATAAACCTTTTGTGTCAAGATATACATATGCATACGTCTGACACCTACGCTGATGAAACAACGTGTAGAATGTAGATCATAACCGCGTGACGATTGAACAACGAAAAGTCGGAACAACTTACGTCGAAACAACGTAATGATGAAAATAAGGCAACAAAAAAAAATAACATATCGAATAAAGCTTTATCAAAGTGTAAAACCGTTTCCACTATCCGCTATCAAAATCACGCAACGATGGAAACAACGTACCGCTGAGGAAAGCACAAGGATAAAAACAATGAACAGCAAGCCAACAATCGGAGCATCATGATTGCAGCAAGTGATAGGAGATCGAAAAACAGAAAAAAATTTAACTCAGTACTCACTGCAGTGAGTGACAGAGAGCGCATTTTCTCGTCGACGAAAACGTAAAGTCACGGACAGACGGACGGACATGACGTGCACAAAAGCGCTTTTTTCATAAACGAGAAAATGCGCTAGAAGCGCTTAACAATGATAGTAGCTTATCGTACGTAATAATAATAGGCCTATCGCCTATTCTTAACATTTACAGCTTGTTGTGGTCTCGTCGTTTCGAACAGACAACTCGCTGCAGCAATTCTGTGTGATTTACGTACCGCCCGGCCTCCTCGCCGATTCTGACCAGAAACTGTCGCACGGAGCTGGGATCGAACTTGCACCTATCTGCCCCAATCCTGGTACTCTGAACTGTAATTAACCACTGGGCCACCATGCAAGGTGACGTATAACGCATAGTAATGTTTAGAAAATATAACTCAGTACTCACGGCAGTGAGTGACAGAGAGCGCATTTTCTCGTGCATAAATCAGTTTTCATTGCGATTAGTACAGTGCATTAGAGCTAGAGATGTCGTATCTTTGATACAGGCATGCCCGCTTCTTAATTAAAATCGACGAAAACGTGAAGTCACGGACGGACAGACAGACGGACATGGCGAGCACAATAGTGCATTTTGCGATAGAGAAACACACTGATAAAACGACACAATAAAATAATAGAGAAACACAACGATAGGACACCGTAGCGATTTAAAAGAATGAAAAGATAAAAACAACGTGATGACGTAAACGTGGGGTGATGAAGGTGCAAAAAAAATCTTTGGTGCATGGACTTTTATTTTAGCCATATTTATCTCTGTTTACAATACACACAAAAAATTTATCGTGCAATCGTCGCGCGCGCAAATTGAATAAAATTAAATTAATGGTTCTTGAGCACTAATATGTGTAGTATCGAACCCGCTTCGTTTTCTTCATGAAAATTGTTCATAAAGCAATGCATCTAATCCACGGGGTTTCTGATGCCTGGCACGGAACATGTAAAATTGTAAATAGTGTTTCCTGCCAAAAAATTGTTGTTTAAGTAATGTTGACAATCATTTCTGATTTAGTTATATCACGTATTGTTATTATGCACCATGAACGCAGTTTCATTTTTCACTAAAATGCTCCGAATTTTTTTCCTTGTGAGAGCCTCGCTTTGTTGTATTCTGCTTTCGAGTCATGCGTCATACTGACGGAGGATTCTTTATTCTCGATATTTTCAAAACGTTTCTTGAGAGTGAGTATTCGTTGACAGCGGTTCTGATTTTTTATCATTTGAAAAGAAAGGATTGCGTCGTAGCCGGCACCCTCCTTCAGTCTGGCGCGTCTGCGGCTGAAGGGGGGAGCATGCAGGTCTCCTTTCACCGAACTGCCCGGCCGGGTGCGGCTCAACGGACTGATCACACCGGCGGTTGGAGGCGCGCAATGCAAGTTCCGTTAACTTGCTTACATTTCTTAAGTCTGAATAGTCAGAGCGAAGCTGTTTGTCTAGCTCACATCAACGTTGTTCTAACCGTTACCGTGTTTACGGTGACCCCGACTAGAAATTATGTTATCTTTCCATGAATTGGAGACTCCAAATTTTGCAATTTTTGCTCTTTTTGATTTTATAGATCGTTGCTTTCCAGGCACACATAATAGCTGCATTATTTACTTTAATGGTAGCTTATTGGTAAACTCATCAATTTATTGTTAAACTTTTAATCAATCGTTAATTCTTAGTATTAAAATTGAAGTTTTCTAGTGTAATTACAAATATCTGAGGTAGTCTCATTAGTCCGAAATAATGGCGTGTTTTCTTAAACCGGCTGTCTGTACATAACCAATATGATATTGATGTATCTTAATCATATTAAATAGAAACTTCATGTTCCCTGAACCACAGAGACAAAGCGGAAAAATTCATCCCGCTAATCAAGTTGTGCTCTACATTTCTCGTGACGTTGTCCAACGCAATCCAGCTTAAACGTCGAAAGCGTGCATAGGTTGTGCAAATTCGTGATACCACGTACGCGCCTTGAATGATCCCATATTACAAATATTGCTCATTACTGGAGTGCCTTCAATATAAAATTAAATTAAGTGAAAAATATTTTCATCTCAGTCAAATTTTTTAATTATGTTCTGGATGTGCTAAAAACTATTAAATAGTTGCATGAAATTTTTTTTGCTCAACTGCTGTTCTACTAGCAAGTGAACATTCGATAACACGGAGTTAGTATCTTGTATACACTTGCTATTCGGAAATACACACTGGCAGCCCTATATTAACCTACTTAAATTGTGATATACAAAAGCGGGAGAAAATGGGAGTCTAAGAGCTATAACGGACCAGAATAATATAGTTTTCGTCTTCTCACGGTTAACTGAAGTACAATAGTGTCATTGAGTAGGTGCGCTCGTTATCTCCGTAAGTTTGCTGATAATGCTTGCAGCTCGTCCAGTAACATCAGGCATGCTCAAGAGGACAAATAGTTATTATGGCTTCTAGAATGTTTGTTTTCTAATTAAGTATAATTTTATGCTTGGAAGTTTTAATGCAATCTGTAACTGGAAGTCACAAACATTTCTATCACTAAACTCATGTTGAAACTGGGTAACAAGTCCATATTACATCCAAGGATCAACAAGACGAGGAAGCCACATCGCACTTCTAAAACGACCAACGAATATTTTGGAGTAGCCTTGGAAAATTTCCGAAAGGAAGAAGGATTGTGATTATGCCGAATAATTCTTGGTTTGACTTCAGTCGCTAAGGACATGCGTTACAGTCTTTATTCTTAGTGATACGATTGAGTGTCAACTTTAGTGACGGAGATATTCTAGCCTTACATTCCCGCGATGATTGCACCATTCTAGATTTATCGTGCAGCTATATTTCGCTTTATTTACGTCAACAACAACTGCATCTCACCACGCGCCTGTAGAACTGTTCTGGACAAGGTTTTATAAAACCTCGCGTCCCGCAATCTTCGTGGATGACGTTATGGGTTAGTGTTAATGGTCAGTAAGTAGTTGTAGGACTCGACGATAATTAGAAAGCTCAGGTCCAACTCAGTTGTAGGCCTGAAAAGCCAAATTTGGATTTTTATTTTCGTATTGGAGGTGTTGGGTTCTCTGGCTATGTCGGTGGAGTGAGACTCAATGAAAAGAAAATGCTTCTTCGTCTTCTGCAATTGCCATTACGGAGCATCAAAGCTCCGGCCCGATGGGAAAAGCTGGATTCCGGGAATTTTAAACTATTACAATTAACGAATTTTTCCACTGATATGAATGAGGCATCGAAAATAAACTTTCACTATGCCTTGCACGAGAAGACAGAGATATTTTTCGGAATTGAATTGAGCCTACAGAGAGAAACACTTCGTGACGGACAAAGTTATTTGCTTCTTTCATTGAAGTCTTCAGGGAATTCACTAATTTCAGTTTTCTTGAAAGTTCTCCGGAATAATTTTTATGAGCTTTGCATATTAGGGCCAACAAGTCAGGATAGCAAATGTTCAAAAAGGACATCGCCTCCCACGGATGAGGTTGTTGGCCTCTGTCTGCTTTAAAATGGGTAAAAATTCGAAGCAAAATTTAACGAAGCCCAAATTTAAGCGCAGAATTTATTCCGTATGAAAAATTCATTGCAGAAAACTGGACTGGATATCAATATTGGAAGGCCTGTGCCGCACTTGACAGATGGCTTAGCGCTCGCACCCGCTACCGTGACGAGGGTATATGCCCACGGGAGCTTCACGCCCATCCTAAATAACAAATTTTTATACTCTGAATCAGCAAGCGGATTGTCATCGTAGTTACTCGACGTTGCCTTTCATAAAGAATTGGTGATAGCGAAAGGTTATTCTCGACTAATAAACTGCAACGCTCACGATTAGTACGATTCTCAGCTCAAATTGCGATAATTTGGGGTTTTACGCTTGACTTCATCGTTACCAGCTGCCATAGCATTCCAAGACTCCCCTATTTTTAAGTTACCTGTTTCTCCTGGGAAGACATCAGCCCTTAGAAGTGAAGGTCTGTACGTGTGCTTAACAAAAAACCAATTCAACACGACTAATGCAATAGCTGTGTTCTCCTTAGTGATTGATCAGAACGCATCAAAGTGGTTTTACGAGGAATTCTTTACATTTAATATGTTTACAACGTCAATTATTGTTGTGGTATCGTTACCGGTTGTGCACGCATGCAGTTTGTTCGCCGTAGCTGTTTTGGATAAGTTAAAGAAATAAGGCAAAGTGATGGTAACGATACTGAACCTTTTTCATCAAGCTTAGCCTGGGGACGTAATAGATTACTCATTGTAATAACAAGGGTGAAGAAATTATGCGAATATTTTGTATTACATTTTAATGCATAACATGCTCAACAATAACGGTCAACTTTGGATGAAAAAGCAAGTTGTTATGATGAAATGACGATGATATTAATTCACTCGGGTACGCAGAACCTGTCCTGAGCCATAATGCACTGGCTGCCTCTAAAATAAGCTTAAATTACGATGATGAGGGGATGATTATGAAGGTTTAGCAATGGTAACAGATGGAATCTAGTCAACGTTAGTAAAGTCCACTCCATGGTGCTCATTGAATAAGCCAATAAAGGAGACTAGTGATTACCACCATCCACCACCTTTGCCCTTGCCACCTCCCCACCAGCTGCTGCCCTTACCCTTGCTTCCCTTCTTATCATCGTCGTAATAGTAGTCATCATGTGTGGGGGTGATGTAAGCAGGAGTGTAGTGCACCTTGGGAACGTCAACGAGCCTCCATTCTTTGGTCTTGTAGATGACAGGCTTGTGCACGAGGATGGGCTGAGTGTACTGCGGCTGAGGGGCTTTAACGACCACGGTTTTGTACGCAACCGCGGGTTTCTGGACCACAACAGGTTTATTGACCAAGACTGGTTGCTTCACGACGAAGGTATCGTCGTAGTTGTAGTCGTAGTCATAGTAGTCTCCTCCTTTGCCTTTTCCTTTACCTCCTCCGAAGAAACCTCCTTTGCCCTTACCACCGCCTCCCTTGCCCTTGCCGCCATCGTAGTCACTGGTGTGATGAGTAACGACGTAGCCAACGCTTTGCGGTATGACTGGTGGGGGTGCATATGCACCATATCCTCCTCCAACTGCTCCATATCCACCACCACCATAGCCTCCACCCACTCCACTATAGCGGCCGATGCTACTACCTAGACCAACGCCTCCAGTTGCATCATAACCGCCAAGCCCTCCAGCTCCGGTACTGTAGGCGCCTCCAACAGTACTTCCATAGCCTCCACCAGTCGAAACAGTGCCTAAATCTCCAGAATATCCGCTGGAGAGCCCCAGACTGCTGGAACTGGAATATCCACCCAGGCTACTGGACGAGCCTAAGCTGTCACCGTATCCTTGTCGGTCGCTGAGGGAAGTTCCTCTTAGTGCCTCAGCCGTGTCGTCGGCGGACACGGCAGCCAACAGCACAAGCAGGGCCACTTTCACCATCTGAAACAGGAAGAAGTGATGAGTTATGCCGCCTAATAAGAAAATAGTTAAGTATTTCTATACCTAGATTGATTTCGTAACACGCTTAAAATAATGGTGAGAGAGGTAAAATTATACAATAAATAATGATGAATCATTGGTCAAGAGAGATCTCAAGAAAAGATGATATAGCGAGTATGTAGATCACAAATATTTTACAGTGGTGTAGGATTTTGCAAAATCGAGAATAAACAGAGTCAATAGTAATGTATGATTTTTGTCTTCCCTAGGTAAATTGAACAGAGATTTAGATGTAAAATCGAGAATTGCACTGGTCGTGTAGTTTGCGCTAAGTTATTCGACTTGATAGATTAATTTATCAATAATATAAAGATGCGGCTATAAATTTCAACTGTATATAAAGAGTTAAATTCACATTAACCAATAATTTCGTGCGCGAAAGAATCAATATATTCATCAGTATTTTTTATATACAGCGTTTTATTATCTTCCAATGTAATGAGTGCATTGAAAGTTATTCCCTCCACGATATATACAGCGAACGATTTTACAAATAACTTGATACGTCTGCTACTACTCTGATATTTTCTTGGTGACAAACTCATTCGACTTTTATATATACTCTATTGCCTAAATTCAGTCTCACTCGACTGCTAACATTACAGGAGTTTATGTTTATTTCCTGTTTGTAGCAAGTCGTGATAACAGTTTCTACCATTACCTGACTACCCACCCCAACCACACATTACACACAGCCCCGTTATAACGTTCCTCGCGCAGCAACGGCTAACCGCGCGTTGTCAGTTACAAGGCCTTGCGGTCATTGGGTCCTTTTGTTTCTGTGGATCCAGCCGGTTGTGCTTGTCACATGAACTGCAGGACTCACTGTTATTCTAGACTTCAAACTGAACTCCGATTCTTTTTATATTCATTAATAAATATTCCTAATGAATAACATATTAGGTTTACGTCCGAGTAGGCACTATTTTCAGATAGTTATGAATTTATCGCCGTGTCGCAAGTTTCCTACATTTTCGTTCAAATCACGTTATTCCTCTCGGCTTGTGTAGGATATTCGACCAATGTGAATATTAATTTAATAATAGGCGCCTTATTGATTAAAATATGGGATCGGAACATGTTGCCAATCTCATCGTCAGCAATCGAAAGCGATCTATTATTGTTAATATTGTTGTATTGATTACATAGTTTATAAAATTCTACATGCTTTTATTTGGCATTTTTCAAAACATTCAAAGAATGTTGTGATTAAGTCTTAATTAAGGCCACTTGTCAACAACTGGGCTGGGAATTGATCACAAATACATGCACCTCGAGTTCTATGCTTTCAACGTCACAACAATCACTAGCGGTGCTGTCTTGGTATAATTTAACACGAATGTCGTTAAAAATAGCAAACATTAAAAAAACTGAAGATATAATCCATTTAAACGGTTTCATCGTTCAATAATAGAATTGAAGATAATAACAGTGACAGTGATTACTGATGTGAAGGAGAAGTCCTGAGAAGGTATTAGTCGCTTACTTAACCCAGATCATCAGCGTAATAGGTTGAAAAAAGCGAAAATCACTGAAAATAATCACCAGTTCTCTTATATAACATAGGCGTCATGCTGCTTTTCGTATTTCTGTTCAAATTTCAAGTTTCAGATCGTTGAAGGCACACCAGAGCAGCGTCACGTTATCGTCTTCATCTCGCCGGTTTTCCAGCCCAGCCGCGGGCCGGAAGCAGCACACGCCGCAGCGACAATGCCGCAAACGACTGGAAGGCGCGGTTCAGAAACCTAAAGAAACTCGACTTGAGCAAGCCGGCCCAGTACCGATCACTAAAGAGATGGGTAAGGTATGTTTGTGCTCTGTCATTCTATAGATCTTCCGCAGCTGCTGTAAGAGGAAGCTTTTCGGCAGGAAGGTTAGGAGGAGGTTTACAGAACGCGTTATTCGATGGCATGTTTCGCAAAGTCTTAGGTTATTCGTTCACTTTTATCTTCGTCCGCTAAATTAATTTTTCCATGGATCTTGATCAGTAACAATGCAGATTTTCCCATTATTGAAAAATAATTAATGGTGTGCGCAGACGACTAGTAACAAAAAGTTCTATCGTCAAGCAGGAGTTAGGGCTAGGTTCATGAAATAAATTTTGAATTAATAGTTAAAAACTATATAGTTAAGCTATACATAAGCAAATTCTTAAATAAAAGCCGGAGCTGGTCGAGCTTTACCACAGGCGATAGTTTCGAGTGCCGTATTAACCATTTTCCTTACAATTTCCATTTCTTTCGTCCATATACCATCGTTGAAACAATCTATTGAAAAAATGTCGGTTGTTGAAGTCCTCATGCTGAGAAAGTAAATCTCAGTCCTCAACCGCTTATGAATTGATCCGACAAACTTGAATTGCTCTACATGTCAAACGGCATAACTTTGTAAAGCGCAAAATGTGATACGCACAGTACAAAGCGCACAATGTTCTGTGTACAGTTTGATGCTTACAGTGTAGTGCGTACAACGCAACGCGTATAGTGTTTAGCGCAGGCAAACGCCGAAATATGCCGCGCGAAAGCAACACAACGAGTCATCTTGCAGTCTCTTCTCAGATCACAACACGATAAGGTTCTGAACATGATAGATATAATCAATCTATGCCGATTGTTCAGATTTAATTCGAATGAAAGTTTTGTCCCAGTAAATAAGTGTATTCGCATAAGTGCTGCATTTTGAGCATTTTAAAGCTTTTATTACATTTTTGCAATCGATTCACAGAAGGGAAATTACCGTGGTCATCTTTGCACAAAATGAAATGCACGGTGCGTCTGCCATGTGGACAGATCACTTGATGTTACATGACAAATAGGCTCTACAATCTGGACGTGGTAGGTTGTGACTTGTGACGCGGACAATGTTAAGGGCATGGACGTTATGACATGAATTATAACGATAACGCCGGGTCGTCGGCAGAATATTTTATTTATATTTTCATTTATTTTATATTGTCTAATATTGTCACCATCGGCATAAATGACTACCTAAATCCCTCATCTCTTCAATGCGTGCAAAAAATGGACATATTACCTTACGAACACCGTTGGTAATAAAGGCCAAGTTTTCGTATCCCGGTCTTATAAGGCGAGTTGCGCAAGCGTCTCCCAGGGCGCAATGCAGCAGCCATCAATGGCGAGCCCTCGAGTCCGCAGCTGCCGCAGTCAAGCGAACAATGTCCGGTGGTGGGGGTCTACTTCTCTCAATATTTCTCTCTCTTTTTTTTTCTCTCAATCTTTCTCTCGCTCTTTTTTTCCCTCAATGGCGTCCAAGAGAAGGAAGGGTTGTCCTAGAAATTCTTTCGTGGTAAGAAGAACGAGCCGGCAGGGCAGCCGGCTATTGAGCAAAGGTATTGTTTGCATACCAAGACGAATGTTGTGGCCCAATGAACACGACTTTGCGCGCCAGCAAAAAATATAACTTGTACAAATTATTGCTTTACCAAACCGTTAAAACATGAACTTAACTTCAATTCTAACGTGAGCAGAAATATTCTTAACAGTTTTCAGGACATTACAATGCCGAAGTTCACATTTAAAACAATTGTATAAGACGACCTGCCAACGAAGGCACATGCATTTGCAGCTCATTAGCTCTAAATATGAAACTGAAGCCTCTTAATTACAGTGAATCTTCATCATTAATCAAATTCTTTTATGGCCCCTAATCTATTATGAGATTTGTGAATCGATCATCAATCTTGAGATTAATGACGCTCTAAAAAACTTATGTAAGTTTAAAGCAATGCAGTAATTTCCCATGTTATAATTATTGGAAATCTAAATTGTTTAATGACTTTGAAAATTTATTGCTGCTTTAAATTTAAATCAATATGTTGACTCTACTACAGTAAAATAAGATGAATGCGAAGAAATAAATTAATATTTACTTCAAAATTTTACTCACATCTTAATGATACATAGAAACTTGGCCTCGCTACGGAGTCTCGAGCAGAAGCTTCTAACCCAATACCGCTGATATCTAGAGCATGGCTGCCGCAACTGCTGCAGCACTATACGGGACATAATCATGAGAGCGATGCAGGAGATGCTCAGATAGCAGCCTTTCTTTTCGCCCTTGAGCGCACAATTTACTGTAGTTACCCAAGAAGAAGAAGGCTTGCGTACCACATCCCCGGGCTTTGCTCTCCCCAGTGCACAGATGACGACAACTTTCGATCCACAAAAACTGGATTGCCTACATAGGACGAACCCATTCGAGCGCCAACGCTCTTTCTCCTCGACTCAAAATCGCCTTCAGAAATTTCTCCCTGTCACAATTGTGCCTGCCATCGATATGGAAATTTGTTTTGAACTCAATTCCTTATTGGCTTGCGTTCACTGCCACTAGTGATATTTTCTCGACTATTAATGACCGAGAATTTTCTATTAATGACTATTAATGACCGTGACTTTCACGAGTCTCAATTTCAATAATTGCACACGAGCTAACAAGCAGACAGCGAGAATCATCACTCAATGCATCACAATTGTCAAGCCAAGTGACGATTTAGATTTCAGTCGAAATCAATTACTGAGTTTGATTTTAAACAATAAATGCGTAATAGGAGATTAATAAGTCTGAATCCTGTAACTTTATACCTAACATTGTAGCAAGTAAGATATCCCATCCGATAATGAAACAGTTAATTTTTTTTCATGACCTGCACCCGGCTACCTGATGGTATCATGAAATGCCAATTCATTTTTCTTCTAGATTCCATTTCTCCACCAGCAGACTCGCCGTCAGCTGTGCAACAAATCGAACCGACCTCATTCTAAGTTCGAACTTCTGCTCGCTATAGTCACATTCGAAAAGTCTGACCGCAACCTCATTCTCCGTTCATCCTGAGGCTCTTATACTCCTACTGCACATAATTTCACTTTACTCAAAGAAGATCTAAAGACACTGCAATTTTCAATGCTAAAATTACCACCGCCGCATTTTTGCTTGATAGACTGAAAAACTAGTGGAATTCGGAAAAATTCGGACGGAAAAATTCGAACATGGAATTATCAGGACACGTTCCGATTAACGGGAAAAGCTGAAGGCATCTGCCTCAAGCATGTATTTTCAGGAATGGTTCAATTATTATGTTTTATTATGGCTCTGTTACTGCCGGTCGGTTTTTTAACTATTATAATTGCACACTCTTCGCTACACAATGTAACCGTCACCCACAAATCATAAGAATTTCTATTTTCTTCTATTAATAAATACGATTCTATCAATCAATCCTATAAAATTCTATCAAGCTACCAACGTTAATTAGATGAATATTCCAATTCCGTAATCGCTCCCTACTTCAAGCGACGTTTTTCAGTCTAGTCAGAGAAAGGAAATTTTAACAATTAGACCTCAATGGTGCAGAAGGCTGGCCAAATGCCATAATGCATTAGAGTTGTCATAATTCATGAGCATTGTCATGATGCGGATGCATAACCATTCTGCATAAATGCGGCTTCAGTGAAAGTGCAGGAGTGAAGGGGTGCAAGATTACACCAGACACCAGTCCAATTGTACTGCAAATGCACTGATTTAAAGATTGTAAGTGAACGTATAATTTCCAGTAATTACAACTTTTTATTTATAGTTATAATTTTCGGTAAGTCAGTTATTCATTAACAGTTATTTTTCTCAGTTAAGTGGTAATAGCAATAATTCCCAGTTATATGAACTATTCAGTTTCAATTGACTCGTACTTTGAGTTGCAAACGAAGCGTTAATATTGATACTGAATAAACAAATATTAAATAGCATTACTTCATTCTACGTATATATTATTCGTATTACAAATAATGGTGATTCAAGTTACAGTCAATAGAAAAAGGCTTGAGTTCAGGATTTTTCCACTTGAATTCTTGCTTTAAAACGATCCTCGAATAGTTGGCCTGTAAAAAGCAGTACCGGGATCTGGTTACATGATACAAGCAGGCATATAAGAAAAAGCTTTCGCTTATTCTTTTATGTTGCACCCCCGTATGCTAGGTGAAAGCAATGCTTTATCACTTATTGTGTTTTTTTTACAGCATCCAAGCGTCTCGATCTCTGTTTAGAACGAAAAAAAAAATGCAAATAGATAGAGCATTGGTGGCGCAATATGGCTCGTAGTTGGGCAGTAATTTCTCATCTGCTGCTAAAGTTATATATTAATTTGATGCAGGCTAATATGTCAGCGAATTTCTAATTGGAAAATTTTGTGTGTTCAAATGATCAAATAATTTTTTTAACGCGACAGAGTTTTACTTTTTTGGGGAGAATATTATCGGACGAAGCTGTCGAAAGTCACATAACATAAGTGGACGCGCCGTAGGGTTGAAAGTTGACAAAAAAGGTTCAGACCGCCAGAACTGAGAATATCGACCAAAAGTTACAATTTTCACAGAATTCAATTTTTGGAATTTAATATTGAATGACTTAATATTTTCTGAATAAAGACGTTGCTAATAATAATATTGATAGGGTGTCTTCGCGTGTAAAAAGCAAGCTAGTATATTTACTGAAGGCTGCGCGTAGCAGAATATAGAGGTAATGTCGATGCATGAAAGTATATATGGTTTACAGTGTGGAGGTGTGGATACAAGCAGTTATGGATAAATGGTGCGGAGAAGGTGTGGATCCACGCAGGTATGGATAAATAGTGTGGAGAAGGTGCACGTGGATCCAAGCAGGTATGGATAAATAGTGTGGAGAAGGTGTGGATACATCCAAGTATGAATACACAGTGTGGAGAAGGTGTGGATACACGCAATTATGGATTTAATTGTGTGGAGAAGGTGTGGATACACGCAATTATGGATTTAATTGTGTGGAGAAGGTGTGGATGCACGCAGTTATGGATTTAATTGCGTGGAGAAGGTATGGATACACGCAGTTATGGATACACAGTGTGGAGAAGTTGTGAATACACGCAGGTATGGATACATATAAGTGTAGAGATGGTATGGATAAAGGTAAGCATGGATGCCTATTGTAGAGATGGATATATGAAAGAGACAATAAGTAGGGCTCTATATAGACATGTTATATCCACTACACTGAATACAGTGTGTAGAGTTCAGCAGATAATTTTATTCTTCACTGTTCCTTGCGAAGTGCGACGAACAATTAAGGAACATTTAATGAACAGTGCGACGCGTTCAACTCTACGGTTTATATTAAAAGATATAACGAACGTTATAAATACTTGATGACGCTAATATTAAGCTCATTTCAAGTGGCCCATATTGAGATCGAGTACGAAAATCTCCGTGACTTGCATTGCAAGCGACAATAATGTCGCTTGCAACATAACTCAACAGAATAACAACATAACTCAACAGAATTCCGTATTACGTAACAATAAATTATATCATTAGTTTTCTTAGATAGCAATGGAACTACCAAGTAACAAAAAATTACTCTCAACACGATATTGGTAAGCTTAATGCATACGCGTTGCTCGTTGCATGATATATAAGGGAAAAATATTTCTGAAGTTTAAATCATAAATGTGCTAACCGTTTAACCTTTTTTCCAACATCTATTATGAAATAAAGATTATTTAATTAGGTCAAATAGCGTATTTGAACATTTCTCTCTCTGGACAATGATATTAGGCAGTAGGTGAACAAATTAGATCGAAATTTCAAGCATGTTTTGGAAAAATTGCTTGACCTTTAAATGTAGTTGAAGATTTTTTGGGGCCAATGGCTGTAAAGTTTTCTTCACTATTCTGTCACATTATTTGGTTGAGAGGAGCGTGTGAGTTCGAAGCATTGTAATGAATATGAAGGACAAGTTTGGCTGGTCATAGTTCATGATTTCGAGATTATACCATAGGTACTTCCATCAAATGAAACATTTCAATTATCTAAAAATTTCTAGCATCAAGAGCAAGTCGTTATTACTGAACAATTGCCCGTACAGCCCTAATTTGATTTCATCCAACGACACGGAAATACGTTATTTACGATGACCTAAAATAGCGACTCAGCTAACGGGAACGTTGATTTACAGAGCAGCGCTGTTACCGCCGGTCGGTCATCCTAACTAAATAAATTGCACACTCTTAGCTACACAATGTAACCGTCGCCCCACAAATCATGAGTATTTCACTTCTCTTATGACTGTTTTAATCTAAAGTTCACGGTAGTCGTGCCTATAGTACAGTTGTCAGGATTTATAGTCTGTCAAGCACTTTCGTCACCCAGTTCTGTCGTCGATGATCACTTGTTTCGTCACTTGAAGTCACTTCGCCGAGTAACGCCTAAACTGCAAATTTCGAACGTCACAAAAACTTTCAGCTGTCAACGTCACTCGTCAGGTAATTTGGTGTTGAATGCAGGTCGTTGGTTCGTTGTTTGAGTGTTGGAAAACGTCAAGGGGAAAATGACAATTGAATGATAAATGAAGAAGAAAATGAATGAAGCATTAAACAAGTAAGCTGTCAATGAATGAGAATTAAGATACATTAATGAATCGTCACTAAATCAGAGTGTGGTCACCAGATTCAGACTGCCACTGCAGCCGGGCAGGGAAAAGAGTGCCACGCAAGGTGCCACGGCGGAGCTCACCTGTTCTCTCATGGCTGCCAGTCTACGATTCACTGTAAAGGAGGTGCGGGAGGAGCCTTTATACCCCCGACGCGCCTGGCACTTTTACTTCTGCAGGAGCCAGCCTCATGAGCACCCCTCCTTTGGACCCTCCACAGCACCCTTAAACAAGACCTCTCCATAGGCCCACCTACTGGACCCTCCACAAGACCTCTCCATTGGACCTATCCATAGGGCCCTACATGGGGACCCTCCATAGGATCCCTCCGTAGGACCCTCCATGGGACCCCTCCGTAGGACCCTCCACAAGACCTCTCCATAGGATCCTAAATAGGGACTCTTCATAGGACCCCTCCGTAGCACCCTCAATGGGACCCCTCTACTGGACCCTCCTCAAGACCCCGCCTCAGCTCACTTCCCCAGGTCCCTTAAAAAGACCCCTCCCAATTGCACCCCTCCCAAGCACCCCTCCGCGTGCCTCGCTTGCTGGTGGTGCAGCCGGTGAGTGTTTCATGAGACAAGCCTGCGCCTGCGCATGTTGTGATGAAAGTGCCTGCGCCTGCGCATGTTGTGATGAAAGTGCCTCCGCCTGCGCATGTTGTGATGAAAGTGCCTGCGCCTGCGCATGTTGTGATGAAAATGCCTGCGCCTGCGCATGTTGTGATGAAAGTGCCTGCGCCTGCGCATGTTGTGATGAAAGTGCCTGCGCCTGCGCATGTTGTGATGAAAGTGCCTGCGCCTGCGCATGTTGTGATGAAAGTGCCTGCGCCTGCGCATGTTGTGATGAAAGTGCCTGCGCCTGCGCATGTTGTGATGAAAGTGCCTGCGCCTGCGCATGTTGTGATGAAAGTGCCTGCGCCTGCGCATGTTGTGATGAAAGTGCCTGCGCCTGCGCATGTTGTGATGAAAGTGCCTGCGCCTGCGCATGTTGTGATGAAAGTGCCTGCGCCTGCGCATGTTGTGATGAAAGTGCCTGCGCCTGCGCATGTTGTGATGAAAGTGCCTGCGCCTGCGCATGTTGTGATGAAAGTGCCTGCGCCTGCGCATGTTGTGATGAAAGTGCCTGCGCCTGCGCATGTTGTGATGAAAGTGCCTGCGCCTGCGCATGTTGTGATGAAAGTGCCTGCGCCTGCGCATGTTGTGATGAAAGTGCCTGCGCCTGCGCATGTTGTGATGAAAGTGCCTGCGCCTGCGCATGTTGTGATGAAAGTGCCTGCGCCTGCGCATGTTGTGATGAAAGTGCCTGCGCCTGCGCATGTTGTGATGAAAGTGCCTGCGCCTGCGCATGTTGTGATGAAAGTGCCTGCGCCTGNAGTAACAGAGCTGGCAGTAACAGAGCTGGTAGTAACAGAGCTGGCAGTAACAGAGCTGGCAGTAACAGAGCTGGCAGTAACAGAGCTGGCAGTAACAGAGCTGGCAGTAACAGAGCTGGTAGTAACAGAGCTGGCAGTAACAGAGCTGGTAGTAACAGAGCTGGCTGTAACAGAGCTGGTAGTAACGCCTAGCTTGGTTCAAGACGCGAAGTGTGTCACGCGGGGCTGCGGGAGGCGTTCGCTGGACAGCAACTAAGCGTCATGGTCTAACAATTACTTATAGCGTTGCTCGATGAAACAGATTAATGATTATAAATGATTGTTGTTTATAGGTATTTCGAGTGCACGAATAAAGATATTTGGTTCATCGTAAGTAAATGTTTGACTTGTCAGAGCTCATCAATTGGTTCTTGCCAGCAATGGCAACAATTTCTTAAATATTTTCAGGACATTGATTTGTCAAGAAATATTCCGTATTAATGTGCTAGTATCATTTTTTACCTAACAGAAAATTAATAATCTACAATGTTGACAGAGTTGTCGCAAAGGAAAAGGTGCTGGTTGAAATAAGTCTCATCAACATTGTCTCACTTACCTACATGTTCGCTTATATAGTTCGTTTTAGCAACTTTGAAGAACTTGCAAACACTTGTGACATTTGCTTTGAACAAACATTAAACAATAACATATTTATTCAGTGATCCAGGAGTAATAAAACTGAAAGTTACATGCCTTTATTACCTAATGTTAACAAACAAAAAAAGTAGGTTACCTGCAGCAAAGCTATTCATGCTTTCAATGCAGCCCGAACATTGACCCTGGAAGGTTACATCACATCGGGATAACCCAACCACTCTCACTGCTGCTCCTTAGCAGGACGCTCCTAACCGCACTCCTACGCGCGCCTAGACCTTACCTCGCCCACCGCATCCTCTTACTGACCGCTGTACCTCTCACTGCATTGTTATCTCTTACTGAGATGCATTGTTATCTCTCACTGAGGTGCATTGTCATCTCTTACTGAGATGCATTGTTATCTCTTACTGAGATGCATTGTCATCTCTTACTGAGATGCATTGTCATCTCTAACTGAGATGCATTGTCATCTCCTACTGAGATGCGTTATCCCCTCTCACTGAGCTACATCTTTCACTCTCACTGACATTTATTCTCACCTCTCACTGACATTTATTATCCCCTCTCACTAAGATACATTCTTCACTCTCACTGACATTTAATCTCATCTCATACTGATATCCATTCTCACCTTTCACCTCTCACCGAGATTTATTCTCACCTCTTCAGGAAGATTCAGGAAGATCCACTTCAGGAAGATTCGATGGGAATTGTTAGCTGCAATTGTTTCTTTGAATTTCTGATCTGATAAGTGAACTAGTCAGTTCGACATTATTGAAGGCAAAATGATGCCCTTTATAAATAACTAGCAATATTCTATGTTCTACTATATTATTATTTTGTTTAATACAATAAATGAGTTAGTTTCACGTTCATGAATTTGCTTCTAAATTCACAATAATTTCTTTACATCCGGATACGGCATTTCACGCCTCAAGCTGTGCCCACTGGAAATTGAATTAATGATTGCGTGAAACTGAATTGAAATCATAAACAATATTTTTACGCGACACGACACGTTTGTATCTCAAAGTAACTCAAAGTAGTCATAATTAAAGTAACTGTTTATCGCATCTCTCTTAGCCAAAATTAAATAACTTTATGTTTCAAAAGGCACTTATTCACAACAATTAATTTTGCAATCTCAATTTCAACAATCATTGTAGTCTTGTTTCTTTTACATTATCAGATTTCAATACAAATTATTACGTTTTGGAAAATTTGAACCATCGTGGATTAGCGTGAAGGTTGCGCCACATGCAGGGCTTTAGTGTAGGCAGGACGAGCGAACTTTCGCTGTGTCGGTGGAAGAAAAAAATACGGTCATTTAACGATCCCACCCAGTGATGGAACAGGAAGTGAAGGATAGTGAAGAGATAGGATGCCATAACCTAACCCCACCCAGTGATGAGACAGGAAGTGAAGGATAGTGAAGAGATAGGATGCCATAACCTAACCCAACTCAGTGATGGAACTGGAAGTGAAAGATAGTGAAGAGATAGGATGCCATAACCCCACCCAGTGATCGAACAGGAAGTGAAGGATTGTGAAGAGAAAGGATGCCATACCCCCACCCGGGGCTGGAACAGGAAGTGAAGAATGGTGAAGAGGTAGAATGTAACCATAATGTTTGAATTTAACCATTTAATTCAACCATGGTAACCATAGCCTGGAGTATAACTCCGTCTCAGCGATCGCTAGCGGCAGTCTGTTATACGATGCAGTGAACGCTTGATAACGGCCTGGAAAGGGTGTAATTGTCAAGAGGGCGTTTGTTGTACGTGATGCGATGTTGTATTTGAATGCTTACGTCCTCGAAATGGTGCATTGGTGAAATGCGGGCAGGCGAAAAATATAATCAAATTGTACCAAAATTTAATTACACGAAAATTCGCTGGCCTGTCTTTTACTGATAAAACACTGAACTCTGAGCTTGGTAACTCTTTGAAAGTCTGGGTTTTAAATTTTACATTTATTATTAATTTTAAGTTTTAACTTTTTAAATGAAGCATCAAACGATGGATGAGATAACAACTAAGAAAAAAAATGAATTAAAAGTGAGCTCGCACGAAATACCCATAGAAAATTTTCTTAATTTGCCAAAATTTTACCTAATTGCGCGTTGCTCAACATTTTTTTGGCAAAACGTTGCGCTCGTGCTAAATGTTGAGTGACGATTTAGTGAATTAATGAAATCGTATAATGCGACAGCAACCGAACGTTACCCTCTACGTTTAATAGATGAAACTAAATTGCACTGAGGTTTATAAAAGGCGAATTCTACTAAACTTGACCGCGTAACATAACAATAACCACAATGATTGCATCAGAGCTCCTATTTAACGCAGCGTCACATAAGCCCATACGTCCTGGGGCCAAGAAAGCGCCAAAACCAGAAGCCGGACCGAGCCAAACCGGCACTAAACTGACGCAATGCCTGCAGGTAGCAGGAGCTACGCGTGAAAGTTATTTGATTTCATCGCATCGATGAATAATAATAATATAATAACATACTAATATTATAATACAAGAAAAATAATAATAAGTCATTTAATGAGTCCCATGAAGGAACACGAGTAACATTAGAATTCCTTCGAGCACGACAAAATTATATTTGGCATAAGTATGGTTGTGTTTTCGTGGGCTTTCATCTGCCTCTAATAATAAGAATTAAATGTGAGTAATACTCAGGCATATATGTAACAACGTATGCAAGTGGAAATTTCAGCGAGCATGACATGTATGTATGATATTCGATTTTTGTAATTTTATGTTCATTAAAACTTTTTTAATAACCTACAGATCGCTGAAAACTGCTAAAGTCACCCCCCAGTTATTATTTTAGCAAATAGCCAGGTTTTCCTGTAGAAGTCTTCAGCTTAATTGTGATGTCTTCATGACTATATTTTACGGCAAGTTAACCTAACTAAAGAATGATCAACGTATGTAGAAAGTATTTAAATTCATGAGATAACTTTCCTAATTCAAGTGACTTTCTATTATTCAATGCAAGCATGTAGAGCTGAAAACCCAACGCTGATTATGACGTGTACAACGGGCGGGATGAAGGGCGACGAGGGCGCTGATTATGACGTGTACAATGGGCGGGATGAGGGGGGCGACGAGGGCGCTGATTATGACGTGTACAACGGGCGGGATGAGGGGGGCGACGAGGGCGCTGATTATGACGTGTACAACGGGCGGGATGAGGGGGCGACGAGGGCGCTGATTATGACGTGTACAACGGGCGGAACTAGAGAGGAAATTTTTCTTCAGATACCTAAAGGAATCTAAAATAAATCTCCGTCAAGACATAATTAACCTTCGTATTTCTGGGCAAAAATTGAAGACGGTATACTTCAGTCGACTAAATACTTTCCTCGAGTAAAAAAAAATCAAAATTCACGATCCTGCGAAAATAGAAAACCAAATTATCACCAAAAAGGGTGGGAGTAAACCCTTAGGTCATAATCCTTTCGATGGAGCTGGTCAATATTTTCCCACACAAATTTTCGCGCACGCCAAATTCTTGCATCCAAAAAAGCTTCATACGGATGCAGAAAAAAGTGAGAAGTAAGGAACCCCAGAAATCACATCTGCGAGAAACCTGACACTCGATATGCGGAGCATAGGGCCTGGTTTCTCCATTGTATTATATCGACATGCTGTTTAATTCCACTATAAATAAGGAAGAGCCGAAAAAGTTTTCTAATCAAGAGTCCTAAAAAAATCTTATTCCAACGATTAAAATTATGATTCTTTATTATTCTAATGGAGACTGAGTTCATATCATGGATCACAAGATCGCTTTCAAGATACTCGTTATTTATAAATTTCATGGTCAACGATTATGCTTGTTGACTATCCTATTATCAACGGACAAGATTTGAACAGAAATATCACAGACTCTACCACCCTTAAGCGAGACCATGGCCCTGGTTTTTCTAAAGTGAATGAGTTCGCACATTATCAACATAATTCAGCTTTCACCTTTCCTGCAGTTATAATATGCTTTCATTCGCGGTCAAAGGTGCAGTGGAAGGCAAATCCACTGATTCGATTCTGTTAGTGGATTCTCAATTTTTCATAAGTAAATTCTCTCGACGGAATTACATTTGTTATTGCTGATGGGCCATTAAATTGATTCTTACGTAACTAACACCAGCAGAATTTTGTGTTTGTTTTTACATTTATTCCAACCAAAATTATCCTTCATCAGGCACAGGCTAAAATAATACGAATTAAGTTCTAAGTTATTTCGAGCGATTGCGATATGAATAAATATTACTAAATTATTTTAATTCGCTAACATTTTCTTAGCTGTCAGTCTCGTTGTAAAGATAATCCAAACCCTTTTTACAATACAGTTTACTACAACATATAAGTTTAGACTGTACAATGGGTGAACCGAATAAAAATTATTAAACAGCTCATGGTTGGTCTTGAAGATAATAAATTCAGCTATTATTAAGGAATTTTATAGTTTTGTAAGGAGATGGAAGCGGCAAGTTGTTTGTCGGTTCTAGGGTCGCCCGACCGCTTCTGGGTCGCGAAAGTAAAAGTGGGAGAAGTGCAAGGCGTTGACGAGCGAGCGCTCCCGGATCTGTAGGATTGGAAGCGAGCTTGTCTAGCTCCAGCGCGGAGAACTGGGCTCAGGGTGAGGTCGCTTGTAAGGTTCATGTGGACTAAAGGAACTTGGTGAGGAACCAGTGGTTGCTAGTGAGAAACTTATGGTTGTTAGTGAGGGAATAGTGACTCCTGGTGATGTGCTGGTGACTGTTGATGCTGTGTTAGTGAATGCTGGTGCTAGACTAGTTGGCTTTCCAAGAAAATTAAAATGCGCTTCAAGCCACTACTCGATGGGTACAGATAAAAATTCACATTTTTCAAATCAAATTGATAAAACCCATGGAAATTTATCCTTCAATATGCAACAATCTACCGCGAAATTTGCCCGCCAAAAGTATCGGAGAGTAAGTTTGCTCTGTTCCTACTAGCTTACAATGAAGTAAAGACATGAATGGATACGTTCAAGCACTTAAGCTATTAGCACGCTGATTGTTAAATGATTTTAATCTACTTTCCAACCACGTGCTTATATGTCGGTAACATTATTTTCATGATACGAATAGCAGTTCCGCGTCCACTTGATGTGTTGCTTCAACTTGCACATAAAGTTCCCCAAGCACTTCACTCTCTAGCGGTTACTTTCATCGCTCTTGAGCAACAGGTAGCGCTATTAAAGTGCCACTATCCCTGTGTTTATCCAAAATTTGCTAAATAAAACAGCACCCTGGACATCCCCATCAAACTTCCTTGTACCGAAATATTAATGTCAGGCTTTTATTTTATGTTTCCTGTAAATCAATAAATTTTTACGTGTAAAGCACTGACGTGGATGCTACTTTGTATACCGATGATCTCATAAAAGATATAACAGAAATCAGTTCGTATCAGTCAGGTATTGAAAAACTTTTATGTGCCATTAATTCCAGTCTGTCTGTCTAGCAGTCGAAGTTTTTGCGTGAACTGAAGATTTACGATGCATTGAGGCGAAGGATTAGACCTCTGACATTTCCTACACAAACATAAGATCTCTGCGGAATAGATTTACAGTATTTTCAGAATAGAAAGTAGATTTTACACAGAATCTGGCATTTATTGTATAGAATGGAATTTCACATTTGTAGAGTGGAAAGTGAATTTCGCAAAGAAACTCGGTATTTCTACAATAAAAAGTAAATTTCCATAACATTAGCGGAATTTTTAAAACATTTTACAGAGATTCACGGACTCACCGTAGCTTATGTTTGAAGTTTCTCTCTGCGTGGCTCGTGAATGAAGTGGTTCGGCTCAGCTATAGTATGCGCATTGTATCAGTGAATAAGTTTCTCGCAATGTCTTATGAATAAAGTGTCTCCTGGAGCTTTTGAGAGTCTCACTGGAGCTTCTGAATAAAGTGTCATACTGGAGCTTTTTGATGAAATGTTTTAATGAAGCTAATGAATGAGGTGTCTCGCTGTGGCTTATGAATGGAGTGTGTCACATATACTGCAGCTTATTCAATGACATATCTTATACTAGAGCTTATGTTTATGCAATGGCGGTCAGCATTGATGCATCCTCTTCTCTGAAGTAACAAGAAAAAATCTTTGCATTTCTCTTTGAAACTATATTTTAGTCCGGAACAAGAAGGCTCAATATAAAAAAAGTTTGATTTAGAGTTGTTTATGACTACCATTTTCAGCTAATATTGCCTTTGCTCTAAACTCAGACTTGAAGTATCTCGAGAATATTTATCGATAACAGCTCATAATATAACACATGCCTTTCTAACCAATGTCAGTGGTTAAAAAATAACATCAAGGCTATCGAAAACCAGAGACATGCAGAACCCCTGCAGATGCGGATCCACACTCTACATTACCATTAATTCCCACAAGTTTTCTAAATGAAACACATTTCCGGTGCGTTGTTGCACAGATTACGACAAAAAACGCTGAAAAAAGTGGATGTACTTGAGAAGGCCAGAAGTTCGGGCATGCGTTGGCGACCGTCCGACAATTTGTGCAGTTCGCCATGCGGGTCGGTGGCGTCCGACAATGAGTGAACGGATGTAATATATGTGGCGGATCAGGGATACGATGGTTCAAGAATGTGATCTTAATGCATGACTTGTTGTTGGAAAATATTTTGTCTGCCATATCCGAAAAATTTTGTCTGCCATTGTCGGATTTTGTTGCATATAATTTTCATCAACAACTGTTGCTAATTAACGTTAGGAGCATAGGGTTCTTAGAAGGTTTTATTTCTTTTTCGAAAATGTATTTTTTTTGCTCAGAAAACGCTTGCATAGACTATTATTTAACAAAAAATTTTGAAGGTACTGTTATTACGAATTATACAACATTAACAAAAGGCTATTCGTGCACACAAGATATCGAAGACGCTGTTATTACGAACGACACTATTCGTTATAGTTAACAACAGACTGCTAGAGAATGCCTCTTGACCGAAGAACGGTAAAGCAAATGTTGGAATGCAAATATACCTGTTTTAGTAATATATTTCGAATTAATTAGCTAACATCTGATTAACGAACGGATAAGAGAACTAACACATCTGTAGGTCGCTCAAAACATCCCCAGCTTTCCATTCATAATTGGAAATACCGTCTGCTTCTCGCCATTGCTCTCTGGCATAAAAAGAAGAATTTGTCAAGTGGAAAATCACTGTCTTTAATATTTTGCTCGGCACGACACGCAATTCGCTCGCCGTGCTACACGTAGAAGACTTTCCCCATACATACTGCCATGACTACGCCGTAATGCCATGGCTACGCCGTAATGCCATGACTACGCCGTAATGCCATGACTACGCCGTAATGCCATGACTACGCCATAATGCCATGACTACGCCGTAATGCCATGACTACGCCGTAATGCCATGACTACGCCGTAATTCTTCAACAATTCTCGTGCGGATTTTCTCACCGAATGCTTCGTATTGATCACCCACACGTGACCTGCACTTTTGCTTGCAGCGAGCAGGAGCTGCTGTCTCATGACAGGCTTTCTTAGATAGGAGGGAACAAGATAAGTCTTCACGAACAATTTTCTTTAAGGCACAAAGAACACTAACAAGATAAAAGCAAATACACGAAATTTTTGAACTCACGTTTCCTTTTTTTTAGGTGTGAAAGATATTAATGAAAATAAATTCAATTATATTTGAAGGTGTTTCTGAAAAGTATTGAACTAATATTTATCTTTCATTATTTCCAAAGGTAAAATAGTTTTTCCTTCGTACCGCTTTGTATAGGAAAGCATTTAAATGGATTGAAGATGTATCAAGGATACAAAAAAACAGCGAAAAGAAAACATGTAAAGACAAATATTAGCCTGCGCACCCTGAACGCAGCACGCAGGCCGCCCTGCCTGCGCTGCAGGACAGCTTGCACAATCCTGCGTTGGCGACTTTCACAGTTTCACGCGTATATTCAATGAAAGCAACAGAATTAATTTTCTACGCAAATGCAGCTAATATCAGAATATTCACTACATGACTCGAAAACAGTCAAATTAACGAAGTATAAAAAGACTACAGTATATTCTCAGTTTAGAAAATTAAAATGCATTGAGTACATACCCCCCATGATTATCTTCTGATTCGTTTTCTATTTACACACGGAACTCTAGATACTGCGTTCGGTGGGGTAAGTTTTCTCCTAAGCACGCG